CGGCGCTCACCACCGGCCCGCCGGCGCGGCTGGATGGCAGCGCAGCGGTGGGCCCGGGCCAAGCTGCTGCCTTGAAAAAGACTTGCCCCCGGGAAATCCCAGCATCAGCTCGGTCATACTCTCAGCACTTGCCTTCGGGAAACATCTCGAGGCCCAACCAACTCTTCTTGCACCAACCGAGGTGGTGGTGCCGCGTGAGACCCGGAGCGGTGCTGCTCAGCCTTTTTGGACTCGAGGCCCATTTCCGTAGCTTTTGTGATCTGAGGAGCCCCCGATTTCAAAACTCGACCGATCCCTTACAACAGCCTTCTCTGCGTTTTTCGGACGCAGACCCGCTTGCAGACATGGATGACCAGGCTCCGCCCGCTTCCCCTCACCCCCGACCCGCTTCCCCCAGGCGCAGCCAGTGTGTGGGGCATGGCGGGCGCCAAGCAGCCGGCCACAGGCTGAAAGTCCCCTCTAACAGAAAACCCATTCTTAAAGCTTGTTGATCTGTTTAAAGTGTGTTCAGGACCCTTTCATATAGTCTTGTGTTTCGCAGGTTGAGAAACCCTGCCTTATAAGACTTACCTTCTTGCAGAGGGGCTGGGATCTGCCAGGCAGGGACGAGCCTCAGCTTGTCCGTATCTGTTTAGCTAATCTGTTTTATCTGCTCACACTTCGCTTGTCCAACTGGAGGCATCCCCCCCTCCCGATTTTTGTTGCACTCCCCTGGGCTCTCTCCAGTTTGTCCACATCCTTTCTGTAGCGGGGGGCCCAAAACTGAACACAGGACTCCAGATGTGGCCTCACCGGTGCTGAATAGAGGGGAATAATCACTTCCCTTGACCTACTGGCCACACACCTAGCAATGAAGCCCACTATGCCTTTTGCCTTCTTTGCAACAATGGCTCACTGTTGCCTCATATTCAGCTTACTGTCCACTGTAACCCCCAGATCGTTTTCTGCAGAGCTGCTGCCCCACCAGTCAGCCCCCAGCCTGTACTGGTGCATGGGATTGTTCTGTCCTAAGTGCAGGACTTTGCAATTGTCCTGGCTGAACCTCATGAGATTTCTTTTGCCCCAATCCTCCAACTTGTCTAGGTCACGTTGAATCTTAGCCCTACCCTCCAGCTTGTCTACTACTTCCCCTAGCTTGGTGTCATCTGCAAACTTGCTGAGGGTGCACTCTATGCCATCTTCCAACTTGTTGATGAAGACATTGAAAAAACCGGCCTCCAGACTGACCCCTGGGACACTCCACTTGATACCAGCTGCCAACTAGACATCAAGCCATTGATTACTACTCTGAGCCCGATGCTCCAGCAAGTTACTCCTTGTTGTGGCAGCCCAGCCCCTTCCCTACCATCTGCCCCGAGGTACACGGGCCAAACAAAATGTCTGTGTGTGCCATGCTCTGGCACCTGTGCCTACCCCTGGGCTAACGTAAAAAGGGTGCATAAAAACTGTATAAAGCAAGAACCAAGCATAGGGGGTGCATGGGAATGCAGATCTGTAATGATCAACAGTATCTCCATACCTTGCCTCTGAGTACATAAACTGAAAGGGCCATTTTTTCCTCAACATAAGCACATGCTGGCAGATCACCAAAGGGGTTTCACTAACATAAACATTGGATGGTCAAGGAAAGTGTGTGATGCTTGCACCTTTGGGACCAGAGGTCTTTTTTTTCACAACCTGTACATGTGTACTGATGGGGTTGAAATGCCCAGAATAATTCTGAGGGAAGCAAGCCACTTCTTTGAAGCTTTGGTTCATGAAACCAGCCACTGGACAATAGGACAATGAGAAAGAAGGATTCAGTTACCATTTAACCAGGTCCAGGATTACTGTCGAATGTGCTATCCTTGACTTAAAAGACTTACAATGTCTTGTGACTAGTCTAGGTCTCAGTGAGTCAGCTTCTCTTGTTGTTACTGCTGCATACTTTGTGTTGCATATTTGTGAAGCAAATGGGGGAAGCTTTGCTAGCAGGGAGGCAAGAGGAAGTATCTGCTGAACTTGAATTATTAGGTATAAGAGCTGTTACTAAAATCTGCCCGGGAGCTTTCTACTGAGAGAGGCCTTCTGAGATCACTTTAGTGTTGTGTCTTGAAGTGCATGTTTATTGTATGTTGAGGTTTTTTTCTATTGAATATTTGTAAAAGACTGAATAATGGAATGTGCACTGTTACTGTAAAAGCATCTCAGGTGGAATAAGGGGATGCAAGCTGTTACTGTAAGAGCATCAAAGATAACATTTTTATGTTACACACAATGACTGTGTTCTCAGCAGTCCTGTGCAGATGTGAAGCCTGGACTCTAACAACAGCACTACAACACATTAAGCCTCTGAATTTAGATGTCTCAGAAGAATTCTACAGATCCCATATAACAGACATACAGACTAATAATTCTATTAGAGAAGCAGTAACTGGAATAATTGGATCTTATGAGCTTCTAATACTAGAAGTAAAAAGACAGAAGCTGAAATAGTTTGGCTATGTGTCCAAAACACTGGACCTCACAAACATAGTAGAGCAGTGAATGGTGAAAAGGAAAACGAAAAGAGGCTGTTCAGAGACAATGGGTGTGTATACACGTGTGCCTGACTGCACAATTGTTACTGTGCAGTCAGTTAGTATTTACTTTAGTGCAGATCTGGTGGCTCATGGGTTGTTTCTAACTCTACTGCACAGTAGCGTCAGCATCATGATTCATGCCCACCGATGCTGCGTCACCATAGTGAAGAGTTACATTGCTGTATCTCATCACTAGTGACACAGCATCTCATGTAGACAAGCCCAATGTGATGCAAAAATATTATCACATGGACAGGAAAAATCACAGGTGGAATGTGTCCAAGTTGCTAAAGCCATTTGGAAGTGGAGACAGATTATGATGACTGTATCTCAAGATGGCATCCCTACAAGTGTGTTGGTCATGAGGTCAAGGAGGAAGGAAGCTACTGAGATATAGTCTTGATATATGCTATTTCACAGTAAATGAAATTTAGGCATTGTAATAAAGAGTACAATGAAATCATTCCATGCAAAGACAGACAGTAACTGCAGCCTGTGCGCAGAAAAACATGAAAAATACACTCAAAGCATTTGGTCAGTGTGAAAAAAATTTTTTTTTTTAATTAAGTGATTTCAGAACTATTGCATCATCGTTAAGGAAAGTGCAAGCTTTGCATGGAGCCTGTAATACCCATGGTTTATGTATTTGGAGTCCGTGCCTAGCTTGTTTTCCACAGACATGGAAAGGAATAAATAAGAGTGTTAGTTCTACCAGCGCTTTTCTGTAGGGCAGGGGTGCTCAACCTCTGGCTCATGGGCCAAATGTGTCCTGCAGAGCCATCACGTCTGGCCCATGGGACTCCCTATGGGGCTCCTCACAGGCCAGGAAATTTGGTGGTGGTGGGGAGTGGTGGCCACTAATATGGCCACCCTCCCCTTTGCCAAATTCCCAATCCCCAAGCCCTCTATGCCCAGTTGGGGCAAGACTACAACCCTTCCTTGGGTCAGGCCACCCCCACCTGCTTCTGGATTGGGGCCTGGCCACACCCCCTTCCCTCCCATTGGGACTTACTTGGCATCTGGCCATGCTCTCCCTACCCCCCAGGGACAGGTCACACCTGCTTCTTTTTGGGCAGGGCCATGTCCCCTTCCCCCATAGGATTGGGTTGAGACTTGGCCAGGCCCCCTTCCCCCTCCACAGGGCCAGGTCAAGCTCCTTTCCCCTTCAGGGCTGCAGTGGGGCCAGCCTACCCTCCCCATCTGATTAGATGGTGCCCGTTCAGGTGCTGGATTGGGAATACCAGCTGGATCTGGCCTGCAGATGGACTGGGCACTGCCAATCCAGTCTCCAGGCAAAAAGGTTGAGCACCACTGCTTTAGAGGGGTGTTAAATTGCTCCTCAAACAAAGCATTGCTATGTGAACCACAGGAAGGATTCTTATGGCATTTCTGCCCATACTAGTCTGCTAGATCTCCTAATTCTTTCTGTTGGCAGCCTCTGTGGAGTGAATACAACATGTCATCATCTGTGTGCTTCCTTGGTTTCCTGACCTGGCTCAGTCCTTTAGCAGGAGGGTTGTGGGATGAGGAGATTCAGGATATCTTTTCCCAATCTAGGCAGGTCTCTTCAGCTTTATACTTTATCTGTCAGCTTGAAAAGCCAAGCTAGCACAGTATTTTTAAAACAAAATGGAGTTCAGTGAGGGGCTGGACCTTCTGGTCACTGACCTCTGTTTAGCAGAGTTCAAAATTATAACTGGAGGAGTCACAATTGCAAGAACACGCTTATAGTGGGATTGTGGATGGAGGGTTGTTGAGACAAGTAACACAGTGTCTACACTGGCTTTCCAGGTGGAAGGCTTATGACATCCAAGAGGTAGTGGTACCAAGCAGACTGAAGAGTTGGGTTTACCAGCTTACATCAAATGTGTGTGTGGGCACATGCAAACCTATAGTGACAGATGTTAATAAAACTTTGTAGGGAAGACCAAATGTACAATCAAATGTCTAATTGTGCTGAAGCTTGAAGTGAAATTTCATAGAAGCTGGTGGACATAATTACTGCCCTTCATTCAGGAAACAGCATTAAGCTCCTTTATAAACCACAGGACCACATGCTAAGAAGTGGTCATGAATAAAACCTGCGTGGCAAAGGAGGTTGGGGGGGGGGGTGTTACTGGGAGGTATCACTGGAGGCTGAATGCAAAATGGGAGATGCGGTACTGTTTGGTGAGAGAAAGAGAAAACAGACAACACACAACAGAAGCAGAGAACAAAGCCTTACAGGCTGCCAGAGAAGCACTTATAGCCTGACCGTGAGCAGAAATCAAGAGAGAGAGAGCTTTTGGGGAGAGTGCTGGCTGGAAGAAAAAACAATCGTGACTCAGATCCCACAGTTAGTGTCGAGGGACAGCAGCAAAACAAACCATCTCTGTACTTATAAACCAAGTGGATTTGGTCTAGAGTCAATGAGATACAATAAGCATGAAACCATAATTAATGGTTATGCCATTTATTAGAAATGCATTACAAATCTAAACTTGTGCTTCAATGCTCTACATAGTAGATCTTAATCTGTGTTTCACCAAAGCTCAAAGTGAATTGATGTAGCTGCTCTTTGCATCTGTTTTGCTTCAGGACTCAAAATGTCCATATGTTATTTAATACATTATGGAGGTTGCATGATATTTCTGTTTTTCACAGTAGATAAAATAGATATAATAGAAAGCCATATTAGGGACACATCAATACAAATAATCTCCAACAAAGTATAAATCAGGGCAGAATAGCATTTTTGTTATACATAATGCTTAGCACTTTACACATTCAATGTTCTTGACAAACATTAAATTATTAGTTCTTACAATGTCCAAGTGATGTTCATACATGTATCACAGTATGAACATTTTTGAACGACTATCTAGCAGTTTATAGTTCCTGTCATGTTGCCATTGGAAATTATTGGAAATCTTCAGTTGCTCAGTCTGTACAGTCAGTTTCTTTGACTTCTCTGCAAAGCCAATTTGAAAGCGCTACCACCTTCTTGGCTCAAAGTAACAAAGGTTTGACATGAAGGACAACTGACAAAAGACTTCTCATATCCTGGCATCAGTTACTACCTATGACTTAGCATTAGAAGTGGTTCACATCCCTGTTCCATGACAGAGATCACTGTACTCTCAGCTCACAAACTTTATTCTCTGCAAAATTTTTCTTGTATAAGAGAAAAACGAGAATAAAGTATGAAGTACAGAAAAAAGTAATTCTGAGAAGGCTTTTTTCCCAGATTCCTCACACTTTGTTCTTAGGTTTTTGATCTGCATTGTGTCAGGGGGGCAGTAACTAACCTCATATTTCCTTCCAGGTAAGGACTGATGGATTTAACACTGGTGAAGTCTGCACCTAAAATGACTAAGGCACTGTTTTCTAGTTCAAGGCTGAACCTTGTTCTAGCACTGCTTGCCCCTGCTGACTCAGGGTACTAGATTCTTGTTATAGAAATCCTCCCAGGGTTGCACATTGCTCAGTAAGTAGACTTAGGCTGTAAACAGAAGTCTCATTTGACCCAGATTAAAACTGGAGAGTACAGACATCACTCTTGCAAGTTGCACTGCTGTTCTGTCACCAGTAAACAGCCAGCGAGAGCACACAGACTAAAAGGCTTGCCCCAGGAATAAACCTCAGTAACCTTGCAGATGTACAAGAGGCTGTTCCAGGAAAAAGTATTAGTGCATTTTATACAGCATACTTCAGAGAGCCTTAAAGCAGGATAATGGACATTTATGTGTTTATGATCCCAGGACAAAAGACTTTCTCCTGAGACAAGTGCGAAATCTGTTCATTCATACCCCAGTAGCCTGGCTACATATTTTTTTTCTTGAGGGGTGTAGGCAGAGTAGAGAGACATGATAGTAAACAGAGATTCCAAAGAGTTGCAATAAAAATTCTCTCAAAATTCAACATGGGTAACTAGTTTCAACACTAGATGGCAAGAGAGCTCTGAATGGGTATCTAAGCAACACTGTAAAGACAACATCCTGTAAAGCTCTGCTCCTTGATTGGGTCATTTATATTTACAATTTAGTATTTTAAGAATGTTACATTAATTACATAACACTCCAACTAGCAACTTTAAATAAATTACAAAAAACAACAAACAAACACAACCCCCAAACAAACAAACAACCAATTAAGACCAAGCAGAAAAGGAAAACAAGAGATACAGGGATCAGAAACCCTGAGAGTGACCTGACATATAACTTTGTGCATGACATGTAAAAAACCTCCTAGGGATGTTGTAGAATTTAGGATCTGCAAAAAGCTTTTGGTTCTTGAAATACCAGGTGCTACAGAAGAAGTACTGCTACTATTATTTATGGACAACAGTTTCTATAATGTGATTTCAGAGAGAAAGTAAAATATTAAAATGACAAGAATAATGTACATTTATTCCAACAGGGAAAAAAAGGCTGAATTAGGTCACTCAGTTATGCCTTCTGCTTACAGCAGTCTGTCACTTGCTGTTTGCAGATGAAATGAGCAGAGCAGTGATCACAGGACTGGTCCTGATTTCAGAGACACCTTTCTTTGCACAAAGAGCAGGATGGCTACAAGTGCAGGGAAGGTACTTGAAGAGAAGATCTGTCTGTCTAGGCCAGTGATTCTCCATCAGGGTGCCATGACACCCTGGGGTGCTGTGAGATCCCTTTAAGGGTGCTGTGGAGTGCCACTCCATATTAGCATGGTTAGGTATGTAAGGACATCAGCTTCCATGGTACAGACCTAATATGGTGACTGGGAAATAGATTGTTTAAAGCAGGCATATCAAATGTGTTTCCGTTCTGAGCAAGATCTGGACAATGGGACTCCATGTGGGCCGCATCCAAATTGTGAGAAGCCTTGCAGGGTGGATCCAAACCCACCTGTACCAGTGGGGTGAACAGCATTAGGAAGCTGTGGGGGTTAAGACAGCTGTCACTTGCCCCACCATGGCCAAAATACATCCCCACTGGGGCTCTGCACCTCAGATTTTGGCTGCAGGCCCTACTCCTGAGTTCTGGCTGCTGAGTTTCTCTCTCTCCATCTGTAACTGATCTTCATAACTTGCTGAACCTTGCTCTTAACACACACATTTTAAAGACGTATTTCTAATATGAATATTTGGTTCCTTTTCCTGCTTAATAGGCATCAATAATGGCAGTTATTCTGTGCTATGTTGTTTGTTTGTTTCTTGCCCACTATTTTCACCTGCAAACAGCCTTTGTATGTCTATGACCTGCAACACTATTTGACCACTCTCAGCAACTTCATTCAGTCCCCTGGAAGGGTGAAACTCCTTCCTCTCTGCAGAACACCGAAGTTTCAATGTAACACTGAAAAACAGACTATCACCCTGATGTGATGACCCATTTCTTGTAAAAGGCTTACCCTGTCCTACTGCCTGTCTGAGGTCAACATTATGTTTGCACTGCATGTCTTGGAAGACCCAGGCTTCTGAAGTCACTGTTATGGGTTATTTCTATATGCCATAGGACAACTCACCTGGTCCGGGGCCTCTGTAGACTCATGGATACAGTCACTGCTCTATTCTGTAAAACAGCTTTGTGACATCACTGGTATGATCATTCCTGTGTCCAGCACTACTTTTTTGCTTGCCTGTGAGAGGCTGCTGGTATGGTAAATAATAGCACACTGTAACAGGTATCCACTCTGGGCCGACCTTAATGTGTCCCGCGCACCTGTTCCTGGGGCAACCCCCCGCCTACTCGCCTGCCATGCCTTATTGATAATTGATTAATAGGTATTAATTAGCAGGAGGCTGCCCTTGTACTGCCCCGCTGCCAGGGGGCGCTACCTGCGGCTCCGTTTCCTCCCCTACACTGCAGTCCACACCTTGCCAATGGAATTGCCGTTGTCTCAATTCTATCACTGTTTGGCCCCTTCCTGTTCTCCCTGGGCCTTCCCTCTCGGTGCCCACACTTGGGCTTCCCAATAATGCTGCCCCCTATCTGGGGCTCACAGTGCCCAACTTGGGCTCCTCAATAATGCTGCCCCCTTTCTGGGGCTCCCTGTGCCCACACTTGGGCTTCCTAATAATGCTGCCCCCTTTCTGGGGCTCACCGTGCCCACACTTGGGCTTCCTAATAATGCTTCTCTCTGGGGCTGGGGTCTATGTACCCCGTACGCTGTGCCCCTACTGGCGCTGGGGTCCCCACGCTACTGTGGGTCCCCTATGAGGCCTCCTCCAACCCCTAATAGCCTCACCCAAACCACCGGTGTAACAAACAACAAAACACAAGCCCCTGGGCTGTAACATAAATTAAAGCTGCCTGGCTAAAACAATAGTCTGGCCTACCAGGGAACACTCCTTCCCTCAGCAGTGTCAAAGCGCTGCTCCTGTAGTCAGGCCTCACCCTTCTTCCCTGAGAGAGTTCCTTCCCCTTGGGCCGCTGGCAGGGAACTGCCTCTGGCCTCCGGTCTCTGCTTTATATAGGAGCCAGGCCCTGCCCCTTTCAGTCAGCTGACCTCCTGGTTGCTCCGGCAACCCACAGCTGGGCTCCTTAGTCACTGCTAGGGCTCCCTCCCTAGCAGTTTCCCCTCTTCAGGAGCAGGGCACCTCAGGGCTCTGTGACACACACAAAGGTCTTCATTTGGCTTAGATCCACTGTGAGATCATCAATATGGTAACAATACAGCAGGATCTATGGATTGCAATTAGGGGTGAGAGTTTTACTGTGCTGGTTGTTCTACACACACGTGGTAAAACATTGGTCCTTTGTCCAAAGTGCTTACTGTCTAGATCTAAGTTAATGACTGTGATTGGCAGTCATACAGATCTGATTCTGTAGCGAATTAAGTCAAATTCCTGTTGCAGGTTAATTCACTAGAATGCTGACCCTATCTCATTCACAATTTTGGTTTCATATCAAAGGGTCTCTGCAGAAGGGCACGCAGAGCACCAGAGCTAAACATTCTTCCCTGCTGTTGCTGTGTACAAATCCCTGATCTGCACCTCACTATAAAATTTAATCTGAGTTTCTAATTCTGTTAAGGTACTATCAGTGACTCCTCTCTGACTCATCCCTCGCAGACAGGGAGACAGTATGGATCTGATTTCTCTTCTGACCTTTTATATACACTAATGTCAATTCACTAACACATTGTTCAGTTACTCCTGATTGATTAACTGAGATGTAAAAAAAAAAGTAAGATTCAGATTCTGTGATTTAAATGAACATTTTAGGATTTAGCCACGGGAAGTTAAAGGAATTCTTGAATGCAGGTGTCCAGTGTCATATCAAGAATAAGTCACTCTCCATTGCTATAGTTGCCTTCTTATTAAAAATATTGCTGCTGGTTGTGAAGAATCTGTAATCACAACAAGAATATTGGTAAAGGGAAAGGATGTTTTCCACATGCATTCTGTTTTGGTTACCTGGGCTATTCTATATTAAAATGCGCATTAAAAATGTCTACAAATGTATCTACCCATCTGTGGACAGTTATAACTTAAAATACAGTTGTAACTGAGTACAGTGTTAAGTAGTTCAAACATACCATGTATGGAAACTGGACCAGTCACTGCTTATGCTGAACATTACTTAATCGGTGGCAAAACTACAGCATTTTTCTGAAGAACTGTTTCACTGTTGTGTTCTGCCTGGTCTCTCTTGACAGTTTTTTCTGCTGGGTTTTCTGCTTCTTTTTCTGGAATAGTTTGTTCATTTGTGTTCCGCTCTTGGTTTTCTATTGTGTCTGAGGGAGATATGATGGGAGTTAGTCTTGCATTTGCAGAAGCAGACTTTTCTGTCAGTTAATAGTTCACTTTGCCAAGAGGGTCATGAAAGTTGTTTTCTTCTGGGAAAATTACAGTAAAATTATAGTATGATACTGCAGTTAAATATGTAAGTTCTGTAAACCTTCAATGAATCAATCAGTTATTTCTCCAGGATTTCAGAAGAACCATCAACCCAAAAGCAGTTTTTATGCACTTAAAATGGAAATGCATTGTGACAGGATTGGTGTCTGAGACAAAGGCTGTTTTTAAGTGAACCTATGAAACTTTTTATTATTTACTCTGCTGGCTACAAATAAACCTTAGGACCTTTTATTTCTCCAGAAGCAAGAGGTGCAAGTGGGTGTGGGTATGGCCAACCCTAGAGATCGGTTTGTTTTACTTCAGCCACTAGTTTTACCAGAGCCATTGTCTGAACATTAAAGAATAGAGAAATTATGATGACCATGATGAATATTATTAAGTATATACAGAAAGAAGTTAAAATATTAAGAAAACTGTACCTTCTTGTCCAGTTAGTGCATATGTATGTACATTCTCTTTTTTCTTCTCTGGGGTTAGAAAGGAGCTGTCACTTACTCCCCTTGTAGTCTGGGGTTTTGGTCTGGGTTTCTGTGTTTTTGGTTCTTGGATCCACTCATGCTGCATTGCTTCATCTGGAGTCATGCGTTGTGCAGGTTCCCACCTTACATATTGGTGTCAAATAATTAGGTAACAGTAATTGTTATTCTTTTTATAACAGTATGAAAATCCTGCCATGAGGGCACTTTTCACAGTCAAAACAAGAGGAAATCTGTGTGATTGTAGTCACATTGCCATTTATTTCACTCTTTTGCTTCCTTTCAACTTGCCTGAGTTACTGTGCAGTGACAAAGGGCCCATTTTTTTCACAAATATGCACATGAAGCTTCTAGTATTAACCAGGAGGAGGTTTATTGTCTATTTATATCTGAGATGCTTAAAATCTTAAGAATGTTGATCTTCATTTTCAGAAGTGGTGTGATAACTGAGGTGCTGACAATCAGACAGACGCCTCTGGCCACTGATGCCACTGCAGTAGCCACCAGGAGACCTGTTCGGTTTCCCCAGCTTCCAGCAGCTCCTTGTCATGTCTGTGCTGCCGCACCTCCTCTAAGCAGCAGGTGGGAAGCTGCAGCTGGGTGGGACCATGGGCCTGGGGCTGGCAGGAGTAAAGAGCCTGGGGCCTGCATCCAGTGGGGTGGCAGGAGTATGGAGCTTAGGTGATCAAGGTGTGGGTGTGTGGGGTTCGTGGGGTAAGGAACATGGGGACCCCCCACATACATGGCCCCATGGCACACAGCCCCCACTGCTGACAACAGAAGCAGGCGGCAGGCCTTTGGGATGCTCACAGCTCATGCAGGTGCAGCCACGTGGTGGCATGGGGCTCCCTGCAGCTCATGTACTGCTCCCAGGGCTTGTACGCCACCAGGGGGAAACCCCACTTAGCCACACTCCCTGCCACCACATGCAGCTTCTGGGACTCCACTGGAAGTGGTGGGGAGACCTGGACCTTCCTCCCAGTGGAGCCCCAGGAGCTGCACATGGTGGGAGGGAGTTGGGAAGGCAGTCAGCTCCATTATTTTTGGCTTCCCCCCAGGTGACATGCAAGTCCAAGAAGCTGCATGTGGGCCCTGCACAACAGAGGTGGGCAGGCCTGGCTCCTCTCCTTGCCACCACATGCAGCTCCTGAAACTGGTTGGAGCTACACATCGCTGGGCAGCTGCGCCTGTGCAGGCCATAAGCACCCCAAAGGCTCGTTGCTTGCTGCTGCTACCACCAGTGGCAGGGATTGTGCGCCATTCCACTTCAACATTATTCTTTTAATATTTAATTTGTTCAGAAAACCAGAAATAAACAAGTATTTACAGTGCACAGAAATATTAACAAGAGCTGCTTCTTGTGAAAAGGAGAGAGAAAGATTTTTTTCTTTAAACACATCACACTCCAAAACAATGCAGCTGCAAAGACAGCTGCAGGAAAAGCAGCCTTCAAGCAGTCTAGTAAAAAGCTGGTGAGTACTGATCAGATACTAAGTTAATACAGAGCTTAGTTAGTGAAAATGCCGTGGGTTTTGATTCTTTTGTCATTTACACAAATATAAAGCAGGAGTAATTCCACAGTGCCCAGTTTACACCTAAGAGGGAGCACAATCTGGTTAATTGTCCACAGTGCCTTTACAAAATTCTAACTATACTCAAGGTAGTTATTTTGACAGGCAAGTAAAATACTACTATTTTATGTATTAACAGGTGAATGCATTTTGTGCCCAGCTCATAAAGTTTCAGAACACTGTTTTTAAAGAAGAACGATGATTTGTACATTGCAGTGCTTTCTCTATTGGCTTTTTCCGTAACACAACATGGAAACCATAGGCCAGAAGGGCACATCGATGCCCAGTACAGTGCCTATTGTAGTAAATGGAAAGGCTATCATGCACTGCCCTGAGAGGGTTTTTTGATAGAAACGAAAAACTCTGATCTTGGGTGGTGCACAGGGTGATTTCCTGAATCCGCACAGACTTCCTGTGTAGGGTTAATTTGCTCCCACCTCGCCATCACTCCTGCCATTGCTGCTGCTACCGGGGTCTTTGGGCTTCCCCTCCATTATCCAATTTCTGCTTGTGTGGTAGGGGTCACCAGTAGAGTTACCAGTGGTGCAGCAGGGGGTTTGCACAGGGTGTGGCTGAGGGAGGCCTGCAGGTTCAGCCCTTGGCTACTCTAAAGTTGGACAGCTCTGACCTAGATCTTTCTATGTACCAGTTTCCCCTTGCTAAACAATAGGAATAATTATACTTTCCTGGCTGAAGTCATAAACTTTTGTAAGGAAATCAAATTCCACAAGGATAATCCCATAAAAATTAGGACCCTTCCTTTTCTGTGTCCTTGTGACAAGGTATTTAGTAGAGTTTGCAGATTTCATTAGAATCTGATAGGCAGCGCCATAAGCACTTCTGCTACAGCCTTGAACTTGTGACCTGACATTTATGCATCTTAGCACCTGCGCCACCCCAGCCCCCAATATTAGGATTAAAATACTAAAAAAGAAAGGCATAAGAAAACAAAACACAGACATAAAAGCAATAGTAAAACTAACTCACCTTAGGCATCTTTTCAGAAAATCCAGAAAAATGCCATCGTGGGTTTTCAACACTGTACTTAGATCCTTGGAATCTGGATATCTCTTTTTCCCCCTGCTGTTAGTGATAGTTCTAGGAAAACCTCTGGAGTCTTTAAAAATAAAATATGGCTTTTCAGTCCTGTGATGAGTCCTGCACACAACCCTCTGAGAAGAATAGAAGGTTTTTTTTATATAACACCCATCCCACTAGCACAAAGTTTTCCCTGCTGGGTGGATGGCTCGTCTTGCAGAACCATTTCAAATTACACAGGTTAAATGCTGCAGTGTTATTGATGGAGTTGTGTGATATTCAAGTCAAATTATAATAATTTCTAGTCAGGTGCACATAGGATTCATTTGTTCCTGAGTGCCACTCTACCTTTCATGCTCAGAACAATGAAAACATGTGTTTTTTTTTAATGGGAAAATGAATACACAGATTTCCCAGACCCCCTCCCATCATCTTTGCCTTGAGATATCCTTAAAGAATTGACAGCACATGACCAGGTTTTCCTATAGACCTCGTATTACGTAAATGTTCCTCAAAGCAGTGGTCAGGTAAGTTAGAAGAATCTGAGGTTCCTTTAATTCAGGGCTGCCTGACTGGGGGCCTACAGGAATTAATTGCAGCCTCTGGGCTTCCCCTCCCTCCTCTAGCTTCCATTTCCAGCTGCCACTGCAGGGGGTGGGCAAGGGTGGCGCAGTGTAGCACAGCCCACAGCACTGGGGGATCCCATGGCTGGGGATGATGAGGCCGGTGCACATGTGATGCAGCATGTGGCTAGCGTGCTCATGCTGGTACAGCCTGTCTGGTGCACAGGTACAGCTCACAGTGCAGCCAGCTGCTTAGAAGTTGGACAGGCTGTGTTCTAACTCCCATTCTCCATATAAGCATAAAAGGCAACAGCAGACTTCACTAGCATTGTCAGCAAAACACAAGAAAATAAGACAATCATAGGTATTTACCAAAGAATGTTCGCCTTCTTGATGCAGTCTGAACAAAATCAGCCGGTGGAAGACCCAGTACCTTTAAGACACAACATTAAGAGAAGGGGTAAGTCACTGTTTCATGAGCCGTGGCTAGGGAGGTGCTGTTCCTGCTCCAGTTTAAAAGGCAGCCCCCACTGGGGCAAGTCACAGTAACATGTCTACTCAATTTACAATGCTCTTTCCCAGTCCTGAGGCTTACACTCAGGGGGCACATCTACATGAAACACTATGTCTACGGTGACGTAGAACTGGTGGGCACAAACCATGATGCCGCTGCCACTGCTCAGTAGCGATGAGCTACCGCGCAGTAGGGTTGGAAACAACCTGCGCGGTACCAGGACTGCGTGCGCAGTACTGGCAGTTACTTCTGCTAAAGCAAGTAGTAAATGACTGTGCAGTAACAACCGTGCAGTTGAGTGCACATATAGACACGCCCAGGGACTCTCAGGAATATTATTCCGGCTGACTGCAGATGCGATCAGAGGCGGGAGACACAAACTGTCCCTGGGAAAACTGTGAACATATTAATTAGGAATTGTATGGACTGGGGCCTTGAAATGGTTTAGAAATCAGAGATGTAGACACTGTCTAGTACTGGGCAACAGCATGACTTGTTCTTATTTGTCAGCCAATCTAGATGACTAACTGCAGCACATTGGGCATGTGTACAAGTTCATTAATATGCCATAATTATTAGGGCTGTGCAAAACAGCAGTGTTCCGCTTTGACTTCTGTTTCACGGAACAGTGTTTCATTTCGAGTTTCATTTTGTTTTGAAAGCACTGTTCCATTTCGTTTCATTGAAACAGTTTCACTGTTTTGATGCTGTTTCGATGTTTCACCCATAGGCTATAATGGGAAAGCACAAAACAGCCTATAACTTCCCCACCAGGCTCAGTTCCTCAGGGCTGTAGGCCATTGGGAGCTGAGCCTGGTGATGGGAGGCACTTCCTTCTACCAGGCTCAGTTCCCCAGCACGGCAAGCCAATGGGAGCTGAGCCCAGTGGTGGGAGGTGCTACCCCCCCTCAGTTTCCCAGCACTGGGACTGGAGCAGAGGCAGATTGCCTCCCGGACAGGTTTGCAGGGCCGGGAGCGGGGCCCCCTTGCCTGTGCTTCTATCGCCCAGGGCTGGACAGTGGCAGGAGACCTCAGTGCCATGGGTCCTGGCCCATTGGAGGGGCTTGACACAGGCACCTGGGCCAGGCGAGACCATGGGTGGCTGCAGAGGCTGCTGTTCACCCACGAGCCCTGCTGGCCTGGCCACCAGCCTGGTCCCTGCTTTGTCCAAACTTCCCAGCCCTCTGCTGGGGGGAGACACCTTCACACTGGAGCTGGGAGGAGACGGTTCCAGAGCAGGGTGAAAGAAGGCAGAGGAGAGACCCCCGATCTGCTGGAGGAGAGGAGCAGAGAGACCGCTGAGGGTTGCGTGCTCCCCCACTCCCCTGCTGGGAGCTGAACCCAGTGGCAGGAGGTGCTTCCCCACACTGGGCTCAGCTCCCAGCAGCTTACAGTGCTGGGTAACTGAGCCCGGTAGGGGGAAGCACCCATCACCACTGGGCTCACCTCTGAGCAACTGGCAGCTCTGGGGAACTAAGCCTGGTGGGGGGAAGTGGAGCAGAGCACCGGGCTCAGCTCCCAGCGTCTCGTAGCCCTGTGGAACACTATTCACCATGGGGAACCATTCTAGCACCTGAAGAGGAGCAGTGACTTCCCAAATCATCCTGTCTGCTTCAAGAGGTCCCCTAGATGTGCTAAGTGCTTCTCTCATAGCCAGCCCACCTCCAAAAATCTCCCAGAGTCACTTTTCTTTTTGTTGTTGAGAGTGTGGTTTAGCAAATGAAGAGCTAACATTTGATTCTGAAGCTCATTTCAATGAGCTCCTGGGGCAGGAATTCTTCAAAGAAGCCATGAAAATACAATTTCAGCTCAGTGTTTTATATATACATACATATACACAAAAGAAATTTTGGCAGCTACCTCCATGATACAGGCCAGTTGCTCAACTTCATTCTCTCCAGGAAAGAGGGGATAGCCAGTGTAAAGTTCAGCCATGATGCAACCCAGACTCCACATGTCAATAGCCATGGCATAGGGATGACCAAGAATTACTTCAGGTGAACGATAAAATCTGCTCTGAACATATGTGTACACTACATTTAAAAAGAAAGTTTGATATAGGGGTTACCAAGGGAATGTATTTATATCACAGAATTTTAGATGTTAGAGAAGGGGAATGCACATGAGGTTCCTGAATCCCTCTTTCAATTGCCAGAAGAGAATTACTCTCTACAGCACGTTCTTAACACTTTGCCCAGTGCCACTGTAGACTGCAGAAGTGAAATGTTTCCTATTACAGGTTTCCCTCGCTTTATGCTACATGCATTCCTGGCAAATGGTGCATAACTTGAATTCGCATAAAAGGAACCCACTTTACAATGTAATGAACAGGGATATGTTCCAAGACCTCGACTATACTGAACCCAGACCCATTTCTATCACTTTTACAAGACAATTTTGATGCTCACCAACAGCAGACAGTACACACAAGCACAGGGCACTATCATAATGGGGATGGCAACTATAGAAACGTGTCGCAGACAATGAGTGAGGAGCACAGCTCCACCCAGGAGACTATATTTTGGGCGTGTATCATTCCCACAATGCACCGTCCAAAGCAGCTAACTGTGGGCTTTCACCACACCGATCTCATAAGAGTGAATTTACCTTGCATATAACAAATTTTTGGTAAAAAAAGGGTCATTGCATAAGAGCAAATTTGCATATACAGAACCTGCATAAAGCGAGGGAAACCTGTACTTCTTCTGGAAACTATGCCATAGTACAACAGATTTCACTGGTAGGAAAATTCTCCTAACAGGTGAATTTAGCCTAAAATATCTGTTGTCCATTTCCTTACTTGCATTTACACTACTCTTTCAAGTCTGAACAATTCTCCTCCTGTCTTTGGTAAGACTTCTTTATGGCCACACCCTTGCAGTGGGATCTGCTAACACTGAGCCATCTACCTCCGCAGAGATCCACTGGGTGAAATTTTATTCTTAACTGATATCAATGCCAATACTCCCACTGATGTCAGTGGGGTCAGGATTTCATCACTGTCCTAATTTGGATTCTGTGATTGCACAGGAGGCGCCACCAAGTGATTTCAGTCCAGAATTGGAACCACAGTGAACAAACTAACACTTTTAGTTCATATTCAACCAAACCACATACAATTGCAGTACAGTAGCCCTGTTAATTTTTCCTCCTACAATCCTGCCAGCCTGTTGATCCTTTTATTTGTTTTTTCTTGTTTTAATATCCTCTGGTTCAACACCTTTGTGGGAGAGAGGTGCTCTGAAAAAGAAGCAGTATTTTGGGTGTAGCTTTACCAGACCTCCATAAAGAGGGATTAACAAATGACTTTACACATAAACTCCTCAGCCCCCACCCCAGAGCAGGGGCTGGGAGCTCCCTGCATGGGGAGAGTTCCCTACCCAGCCTGGAACTGGCTTGGACTTGCCCCTGCCTGGGACAGTTCCCGGCCAGCCCTGGACAGTCCCCACCCTTTTGGGCAGTCCCCAGCCAGCCCTGGGCTGCACGTGCAGACTTCATCGCACAGCCTGGGGCTGACCAGGAACTGTCCTGGTTAGGGGCAGGTCCCAGCCCCATGCCCTGATCAAGTGATTGAGGTGCTGGGCTTGAAAAGAGCTGCAGGGGAGGGGAAGATCAGCTCCCTGCTCCAATTCACCCGTGGGGCAGCTAGCAGGGAGCCCCCAGCTGAGTGGGGAATCTCCACCCAGCTGGGGTCTTGTGGCTAGTTGCCCCACCGGCAGATGGGGCAGGGGGCTGGGACCTCCCCCTCCTCTGCAGCTCTTTCCAAGTCCCCTGCCTCCAATTGGGGAGCCAAGGCCAGGAGCTCCCTGCTGCTGGGGCAGGGGAACATTGTCCTCACCTGGGCTCCAGTGATGGAGCCCACCCTGGCAGCAGGCAGCTCCCAGGGGCACAGAGAAATGTTTCAGCCCCTGCCAGGAGACTGCCGTCTCCTGGCTTCACGCGCCCTGCCAGCCCCTGAGCTGGCACCCAGGGGGAGCCTAGAGCTCTCCCTAGCTGCTGCAGGGGGGCAGTGCAGGGCTAGAGAGGGCGGGAGCAGACTGCTGCCAGGAGCAGCAAATCTGCTCCTGCATCCACACTCATGTAGACACCTGCCCAGGGTAGGTTTACTCTAGAGTAATTTACTCTAAAGTAAACCCACCGCACAGCATTTGCATGTGTAGACATGCTCAGCATGTCTATTAATGTTATGAATAATTTGTTATCAGTTCAGTCATATAGCACATTTTATGGTTTAATTCCTTTTATAGGTTTTGTTTAAATTTTTTAATATTCTGTTAAAACTTGAAAAAATAGTAAAAGAAATACTTAACATGGAAGGATAATCTCCATTCCTCCTAGCTAAGTTAACCATGTTGGACCTAAAGTATGTAAACTCTGTTTTAACTGTTCTATAAGAAGGAAAGCTAGGGTCTGAACCTTCAATGCCTACTCAAGTGAGTAAATTTTGTTGAAGTCAGCTGGACTATTCACATAGACTCATTACATTGCAGTTTCTATATTATTGTCAATGGAAAAGGAAGTACATCAGGCTCAGCACAGAGACGGAAGATGCCCTGGGGTGCCTGCTTATCTCTCTGCTACCATTACTGCTAATCCAATCACTGGCTTACTAGTTCAGTTGATGAAGGTAATGGGCATGTGTCACTATTAGTTCAATAGAATAAACACTTTTTCCCCCAAAATTATTTAGAAATTAAGAAATCTAATTCAGAAAATTACATCAATTTGACTTTTCTGCAAACCTCTTTGGTGTTCATAGCAGCTTGATCCAAAGTCAATAACTTTAACTGAACCTTGGCCTTTGTGGTATAGCAATATGTTCTCCTAAAGAAGAGAAATCATAGAGAAAAAAGGGTGTAATCCCCCACTAGTTTAGTAATGTACCATATGTTGAAATTATATTTACTTCTGTAATATTCAGTAGAAACGGTTATCATTGTGCTTTGCCTGTTCATATGCTTCACTGACAGTAGAGGGCAGTTATGTATAATTTTTTGAAAGAAGTCAAATGAGACAAATGGAAAAAGAGGATCTAAGCACCTGCCAGCCAGTGTTCATGCTGCACTGAGCAGCACACACTAAACAGCCAAACATGCTGTCACTTATATAATGAGAACCAAAGTACACACAAACAACATGCTCTGCTAACCTGCTGACATCCATCCAACAAATACCTGAAGGATGGCTCCTAGTGAGGATACATAGCCAGTAATGGTCTCCTCCCTTCCATACTTTCCTCCCCACTGCACCCAGTGTTGGATTTCATTCTCATTAGATAGTGTAGCCCCAAACTTTTCCTTGAATTTGGTTTTGATCATTCATTGTTTTCCACTCATTGGGAGAGAGTTGACTACATTCCCTAATCAGTTTTATACTGATGATGCTTTTAACTCTGAAGGGGCAGAACCATTCCCAAATGAATACCAACTGGTGATCAATTAGTTTCCTGGGTAATTTCTACAACCATTAGGAAGCCGTGTGCCTGAGAGGACGGAAGGTCTGTTGCTGTTGAAAGACAAGACCAGAGCTCTTGCTGCTCTGGATCCAGCTGCCCTTACTTCTATCTTGGCAGGGATGAAGACCTCCCTCCTCCATTTTGAGAAGGCATCTATGTTTCCTTGTGAAGCTTCTTTGCAGTTACTCCTTCCTCTCACACTGCCCTGATGCTGGATCTCCCCTTTTCATGGTATGTGGAAGTTGATTGCAATAATAACTTTTGAGGACCAGGATTACCCAGCATAGGAACAGCTTTTCACTCCAGCTTGTGTTAGGAATACAGGATACAGGGGATGCTTAAGAGTAACAGATGGCAATGCTAGATAATAGGCATTCTTCTCCTAAAATCTAAAGTGACCACAGAATTAGGATAAAATTCCCTTCCCAGGTCAGCAGAACAGACTCACATTAATATATTCCTCTCCTGAATATGTGACTATTTGGACTTACAAGTCAAGGTGCATTGTGCAGCTAAATATAGCAAAATATCACCCAGGGTAATTTTATTGGTCACAATGAAAGCAACACAAGTAGCTCATTCTTCATTTCGCTGATAGTTCTGAAGAATCAAGTCAAGTTGATTTAACTTCAAAATATTTTGGAATATTCAGCCAACCCCTTCAAAACTGGGTTGGAATCTCCCAAGTAGCATAAATAATGAAGTACTCATTGCACTGGGGACCAAATGACCCCCATAATCTGATGGTTTCTAAATATTCTTTCAAGATCATTTTCATTAATAAGTAATAAAATGCACCTCACTTGCACTGTGCACGCAACCCATAACAAGATGACCATACTTACAGGTTTGAGGTCACAGTGGATAATTTTTTCCTGGTAAAGTATTTGTAAACATTTCAGTAGACACTGAGTGAATTGTCGAATCAAAGACAAACTAAAACCTTGGAAATTATTCTTTTTGATCAGCTCATATAAATTTATCCTGTGGAGAGCAACGGAAAAAAAGAGATCAGGGCACTGAATGTTTAAGATATGAAAAGTTTATAGTCTATTAAAAAAGCTTACATTTTTCTTATACAAGGGAAGGAAATCAGCCAGAATAAAACAAAAGATGTATTCCTTTTGGGGAGCAGAGTTCTTCCTCTTATGTGCCTAGCCACCTGGGCTGGGGATACAGTCATTACTCTGCCCTTACCCAACTTGCTTTCAGACAGCTGGTGCAATGGAAGTACTAGCAAGGCACTGCAATTACATTCCCTCATGAATTACATTCAACCACCTGGACAGGGTAACAAGACTTCGGACACATCTACACGAGACATGTTAATGCGCATTAGCCTAATTTAATGCACATTATGGGCATGCGTCTACATGTGCACACCCTTAATGCACATTAAAATGGCAAAATTAGGCTAATCGTGCCTAAATTTGATACCTGCAAATGCAGGTATCAGATTTAGGTGTGATTAGTTAAAGCACATGAACACACACGTAGACACCACCCAACATCTGGTTAGTGCCAGGTCGGCCCAGCCTGTCAAAAATCACTTAATGCACATTAGCTTAATGCGCATTAAATTTAGTCATGCTTAAATGCACATGTATATGTGCTCTTTGTCTAGGGAAGCTCTTTCTACTTCCTCCTTGTCATATCCACACAAAGGATGGACACTCTGCTCTCTAGAAAACAAAGGTAACAGGATAAGGCACCTTCATTCTGTGGGAAAAGAAATTCATGGATCAAGCAATTTTTGTTAGTAATATTTAAAACAATCAGGCCCATACATTTCATGTTAAAGTCTCCAGCTCTTTCAGAAATGAATGGACATGCTAAAACCCTAGTAAAGGTTTTCCTACCCATTTCCCATACTGAATTTTTGAGACCTCAGGCATTTGCCTTTACTGGACCCAAGAGGCCTCTGCTTATACCACATTAGTCAACATGTGCAGTACAGCACACCCACTTATTGTAGCCAGTGTGAGCTGGACATGACAGAGAGGTCTGAGTTAGAGATCAAACCTCTTAATAACCTGCTGACTCATCCAGATGACAAACATGCTAGAAAGAATGAGAAGAATAGCCTGAAAAATCCGTCTAGGATTCAGGAAGAGATTTTTTTTTTTAAACAGAAAAAAATAACAACCACTTGGACTTCCATGTGATATTCTGGTTACAAGTATGATGAATAAAACTGATTTCCTTAAACTTCCTCCCATAACATCCATTTACAGAATGGGAGCTATTTGCAGAAAGAAACAACAATAGCTGCATTTTTAACTTCTGACACATGGAATCTTTAAAAATAGATGAAATCATGGAAAGCTCACATTCCTGGTACATGTTACCGCATTTGTTGGCCAACAGGAACAACTGTACAGTTGTACAGATTTATTGGCTCCTGTATTTTTCTCCTGTTCTATCATTTGTACTTGTTACTACTGGAGGGAATCATAATTTCATGGGTTTTTTTCAGCTCATTGTCCTATGCGAGTTTGTCATGATTTGTTTTTTTCTGCTAAAAATTGCTAGGCTGTACAGCAATTTTATACAGCACTAGACTTAGTGTTAGGACAAACCTACTTAATTCAGGTTTTTCATATGCAACAAGAGGGCAGATCAGCATAACAAACTCTGAAGTTCAGCAATCCTGCACCCTATTTTTTATCCTTTTTTTCCTACCTCCTTAATTCTATGAAGTAAAAACATGCGTATGCACAGAATAAGAATTTGGGACCAGATTGTCTGAGGTATAATGAGGGTCTCCATGGTGTCCATGGAAAGGAAAGTTTAAAAGGACCTTTTCCAATCCAGCATCAAAAGCTAAGGTCAATCACAGTCTCTATGTTCAGAAATGGTCCCTTAGTTGCATTACACAGGGAGGCAAAGCACCAAAAAGCAGGTGGAGAAGAGCCAGGTCTTACCTCCTTGCAGCCATACCCACTGTGTACTGCAGCACTTACACTCAGTCCCCCTGCACTCTGGCAATCTAGGGCAGGGGTTCTCAACCCTTTTACACTTAAGGCACCTCTCATCAGACTCAAGACACTGCTTGGAAAATGCCAGCTCCTGTGTTTCATTTATTTCTTGAGTGCAGAAAAATAATAGAGCAATTTATCTGTTGCAAAGAACTTGGAAAGACCACTACATGTATCATGTATAGATGTCTCCACATCCAATATTGAGCAGCCCCTCCCCCCCTCCGGGACCCTTAAAATAATCTAGAGCAGTGATTTTCAACCAGGGTGCTATACAATTCTGTTGAAACAATAAAAACAGGCCATGTTTTCCAAAATCTAAAATGTGAATTAAGGCATCCACTTCTGGTGAAAAAAAAAATCTCAGTCCAAGGATTCAGACATCCATTCTGCTGTGAGCTGGCAGACTGCTCTAGTGCTGATATGCCAGCGATTTTAGAAAGCATGCCCCATCTCTGCAGAATTCCTAAACCAATTATTCCAACCAGGGTGATGTGAAATCCTTTTAAGGGTGCCACAAAATATTAGCACAGCTAGATGTGCAAACATCTGCACATGATTCACAAGATAAACTTAGAGATTTTAAATAGGAATACATAGCATCTAAATAGTCTGACTAGTTGTGGTCTTTCTAAGTTCTTTGCAACAGAAGAATTGCTCTATTATTTTTCTATAGTCAAAAAACAGGTGAAAGCTAAGAGTTGGTATTTTCCAGGGGGTGTCTTTAGCCTAATGAGGTTGAACACTGATTTAGGGAAAAGATGAGGTTGGAACAAGCATTGTCCCTCTTTGACTCCCCCAAGTGATGCTGCTGATAAAATTACCCTACTTAGGAATATGGCTGAAAGCTACAATCTGGCCCTATAAGGAAGTGATCTATTGGTGTTTTTTTACAGGCCATTTTTCTCTACTTTTGTTCTCGTCCTTTTTCCAGGACTCTGATTTTCTGAATAACAAAGTATGCGTAAATTACAACAAATGCTTGCATTCAACAATTATAAAGTACAATAAAAAAACCCCAAACAAACCAGAAAATCCTGCAAGGCAAGAAAATAAGTAACAAGATATTTTCATATCACATAGGAATCTGCAAACCTGTATCATTTGTCCCAGACTGTATGTAAGGGAAAACAGTCCTTACCCCAGCAGTTCAAAGGAAATGCAGAAGTGATTGCGAAAGTAAAAATATTCCTTCATGTGAACTATGTTGTGAGTATTGTCTTTGTCTTTCTTAAGGAGAGCCTCAAGAATCTGTACTTCCACCATAGCCTGACTGTGAAATCTAAAGGCATAAGTGAATAGGACAAAGTTAAATGTTAAGGTGGCAACCCAATTAATAAAACCTAATTTTATCACAGTGCAAAAAGAATGCTACAATTGATATAATCTTGATGCAAACATAAAATAGATGAAGGGGTCCATTATGAACCAAGCTACCTCAAATAATCATACAGTGGAGTCTTGAGATACAACAGTTATTTCTAACCTAAATACATGAAATGCCCCTCAGTGACTTTTGTCAAATATTGACCTCATAATGGTTACGATGCTCTAGAATCCTTATTTGGAACCTGGTTGACAAAATAATGTAATGAAAAAATGCATCAGATGAAACTCGTCTGAGCATCTAGAGTGAAATCCTGTCCCTACCGAAAGGGTATCTTTCCATTACCTCAGTTGGTCCTGGATTTCAGTCCTAGAGTAGCAAAGTTTTGATTTTTAATAATATCTTTACACCCAGGTCAATGGGGTAAAAAAGGTAACATACAACTAAAGGACCTGATCCCATTCCCTTAACAGTCAAAGCAGAGTTTACTCCAACATTGCTGGATCTAGCCTAAAGAACTTTGGTAGCATAGTCTACTGCAGTATGCCTGCACATTAGTAGGGAGGAAAAAATATTTAGAACCACAATGAGGATTTCCTAGGCCAAAACTTGTTTCATAGGAAAGTGACATCTTCCATCCTATTTTCTACCTCTGTAGTGTTGTTTTACATGACAAGAAGAGAGAAATTAATTCTTTGCTTCTGAAGATGCTCTGCTTGGCCCTCAACAAAAATGTGGATATTCCCTGTACATTTTATACATTTTCATATAAATAAGCTAAATTGTATTACACTGAGTGCCTGAATAATTTTCTCTGTCCCTGTGTCATGGTGTACAAACTGAGTCTGTACTAAAAGAAACAGTGCTTCCTTATTACCAATTTTAAACTTGCCATCTTTTGACTGGGTGCTCCTTTGTCCTTGAGAAGGAATAAACAGAAGCATCAACCTGGCTTTTTGCATGCCATTCATTATTTTATATTGCTTCTCCTTCTTCTTTTTATCAAACCAGCTAGTTTTAATATTTTTTCTCTCCCACAAAGAATCCTACTATTCCAGTGTTTTTCACCATGTGACTTGGACTTCTGGATTTTTCTAATGTGTACAGACAGCTCTGTAACAAGCCTCTTCAGGAGATGTGACGCAGGAAAAGAAAGTGCTGTGAGTAGGAGTGCAGCAAGTTGGAAAGTGTGGGACAGTGAAAAGGGCAGGGGATCAACAGGTTGGGAATGAGGTGAACTGTCAGGACTGGGGAAGGGGACTCGCACCACTCCTGCCTACTTCATTCCTGACTTTTTCAAGAGCCAGTGTTCTCTATACTTTCCCAAACAAGCAGCTCACACAGCAGAGGTTTATCTGAAAAAACTGTATTCCAAAAAGCTTTGGAAATGGTATAAAATGCATTTTTATGGTAGATAATTACTTCTGAAATAACTCAGCATAAAACCTGGGCAGATTACTCCCTTGAATAAACTAGTATTAGTATATTAACCAACGCTTTATGTTTTATATAATGAGTTGAAGTTACAAGATGCCATACCTCTTCTTGTTCCTTATTATTTTCACTGCCACTATTTCATTGGTTTTATGGTCTAAACATTTTGCTACTTGGCCAAAAGATCCTTTCCCAATGATCTCCAGTACTTCATATCGGTATGCAATGTGGTCATGTAAAACCTGCAAAGGAAAAGGAAACAAAATACAAAGTTCAGGCACCAGGCAATAATTCAAGATTCATCTTCTAATATGATGCATTGGTATGTGAATATCGGGAAGATTCCCATCTCAATTTAATCACAAAAATAGCAGTTACCCAGCCATATAAGTGTCATTTTTTACATGTATGAACCATTTTTAATTTTATTTGGACCTCTGAAAAAACACAATCCTCTGCACTCCTGCATTCTGGAAGCAAGGAAGATGAGTATGTTATGTTTTAGCCTAGGGACTGACAACCTATGGCCTGCTAAACACTGGATACAGCCCATGGGGCCAGGGGGCTTTGGGGTCATCTCAGCTGTGGAGGCAGGGAGCTTCACCTCTGCCACAGCTGGCTTGGCCGGGAGACAGTGGTGAGGAGAAGTGGTGGCAGCAGCAGCAGCAGCAGCAGTCAGGTCTTAGCAGAAGCCTGTCTAGAAAAAGTTATTGACTGCTGTTTTAGTCCAACAGCCTAATGGTTACAGCACTCATCCAGGAAGTGGCCGGTTCAGATTCTAGACCCTCCTTGCCTAAAGGATATTTGAATTTGCATCTCCTCCTTCCCTGGACAGTGCTCTAACCACCACACCACGGGTTAGGCATTATCATGCCTCTCTCCAGTATTCCCTATGAAGCTGGCCCTCTGGCAACCAGAAAGGGAGATATGTGAGACCAGAAGAAAAAAAACCAAGATAGAGGGTGTGTAGCTTAGGGAGAGGAATGGGAAAGGCCCCTGGGTTCTTGCTCCTAATGGAGGACAAACTTCTCCACTGCTTTCAATTCATTTCATCCAATGAATACTAAATGCAGCTTCACTGCACCCAGAACAGAATGACAAACTGTGCTTAAGTGCCAAAAAATGCATATAGGCAGCTAGGTAGCTGTCATGTAGGGACAGAAAGTGAAATTGGATCTAGCTCTCACTGTCCAGGAAATGTGTTGGACTGACAGTAACTGAAGTCATCTGCCCATAGGATAAATATGACAAATACAGAAGTGCAGGTTTCCCTGATGTATTTGTGTTTAAACAATACGTCTGGTGTCAATCGTGACAAAGAGGAAAGATGCACTGACACTCAATAATTCTCTGCTGAGATTTCAAACAGGTTGTCAGTACCAGTGGTTTCTGAAAGGGTGGCCTGAGAACATTTACCCTACACAGACCAGATACCATGGGCAGACAGTCCTCATTACAAATATTCTTATCCAGATTCTAAATACCAGAATTTCCTTACCTTTAGGTAGGAACCATGTTCATCATCATAACAATTATTGTTCTGCGTTTCGGGCAAACCTTCAACCTTTTTAGCTTCTAGGCCAAGAAACCACAGCTCTGCATAGCTTAGAATTTCTTTCTGTTCATAGACTGTTAATTGGTTTCTGAAATATTTCAAGGCTTCTAAACAGGAGAAACAACAACAACAATGGGGAAGATGTGAATCACCTGAGCCATACAATTCTACTGCCAGTCCTAAGAAGGGCCTTTTTCAGATTGGTCTCCTTTCTCCCACCCCTACTTCCCTCCACACTGTTTTCTAGCCCTGTCTCCTTGTCCAGCAAGTTCCAGTCCCCTCACTCCTTTCCCATGCTTCAGTTTATCTCAGTACTCCAAGCCCTCCACTAACTGTTTCCTAGTCCTTTGTGCCTGTCCTGGTCTTCTTTACCAACCAGTTTCATTCTTGCTTCCCCACTGTAACTTACAATCCCAGCTTTCTCTCCCTCTCAGGTAAAGCTTTCTTTCATCCCCAGTTCTCAGTCTTCTTGCCCAATGGGTCTCATTTCCATTTTCTTTTCTCTTCTCCAGTTCCAATTTCATTACTGTCCTTATCCTTACTTACTCCTTTCTTTTTCCCTGATCCTCTGCCCTTCAAACCAGGGGGCTTCCTCCTCCAGGTATCCTACATATTAGGCAGGAGGGGCATCCCTGCTTTTAGTTCATGTAACATGTACAAGCTCCCGCAGTGCCCAGATCCACCCTGGCCTGAAGCATTTAGGAGAAGCTGTCATGGAGAAAGTACTTCTGAGCTCTCAAAACCATGGGTTGAACTATGTTCACTTACTCTGTGGGGATGGCACATATGCAGTCTGATCAGCGCTAGAAGCTCTGAGAAAAACAGAGTGGCTGAGGTAGCGGCAGACTCTGTACTGATTTTAGCTGTTAATAGCTAGCAAGTCTCTACTGAGTGAGCATGTGTTAACTGCAGTTTATCAAAGGTCTACAACTTAATCAAATTTGTACTTGAGGGCTACTTGATAGAAAGGTCATGCCACAACCCAGTACAAAGGCGCTGCTCAAAAGCATTGCGGTAAGGGAGCTTTGCAAAACAGATTGCAAAAACATTTTAACATAGGCAAAACAATGTATTTTCCCAAGCATCATTCTCAGAAACATTTGATGTCTGAACCATTCATGCTGGAAATTCCATACTGCCCCTCTTCTATCCTTCCCCACCACCCCTCAAAAAATCAGGCTAAGGGTTCCTAATAGGGACATTCTGAGCCCGAATGGTTAAAGATTGGCAAAGTTATAGTCAACTGAAAATAGTATCATTTAATGAGATATGTCAAATCATGTTAATCACGGCATTACAATTTCTGCCAAAAATGGACCTTGAATAACACTTGACTATTTAAACTAGTCTATTTGCTTCCAATATGTAAAAAAACAAATTTAATTAAAAAAATCCTTAAACACATCCTTATTCCCTCCTCCCAAAAGCCTATATAAAGCATTTCAGTGAACATTTACTGCAGTAAGTATTGTGGGCTACTCCAGTTTCTCTAGGATACATGCTTTCTGTCCATACTGTACCTGAAGCTGTCAGAGGGAGCTTGAGACTGGTATTGGAACTTTCTATTTCTGATGTATTTGACTGGACTTTGATATCATTTTCAGGCAGGCTTTCTGCAATGTTAAATCGGGAAAAATGTGGCTGGACTCGAGATCTGTTTTCCTGCCAACCAACAAAGATTTTTATTGTGATTTTTTTATATTCCTCCATTTTCAGCTCACCCCTCTCACTACATAAAAATTCTATGTGTATCTTACTCACAAGAAAGCTCTGAAAGCTCTGGACTTTTTGAGAGATTGCAATGTTCATTTTGCACTGGAAAAGGACAAGCTGATTTGAAGATTACAGTTTTCCCTTTATCCACACAACAGGTACGGTATGGGCAATAGCAGTGGAAATTTCTGACTGCATTTATGCCATAAACATTTACATCACTTGAGGATACAGCCTTTGGTCTTTCTGCTAATGGGTACGGGCAGGGGTGGGAGGCAAAGGGCAAGATGTTTTAAAAGGGCCCTGGCCACCAGCACCTTTGTCTGCTGTTTAGACCCCTGAGTGTTAGCAACCTGTCCTTTCTGTGAGGAGGAGGAGGAGGAGATGCTCTTCTGTATCTTCCTAGACTGCCCTGACTGTGTCTGCTCTTTGCCACCTTTAGTACCCACTGTGGCATGCTGGACTTGGACTTCTCCAAGACTATGTATGTTTTCCCTACCCTGTCCCAAGTGGCTGAAAGGCGTGTGATCTCTCAGACCAATTTTCTGCTGAGCCAGGTCAAGATGGCAACACTGAAGAATTGCAGAAACTGGCTTGCAGGGGCCAGCTCTGATAATGCCCTTCAATTTTTCCAGTTCCTGGTCTGGGCATTAGGGCTATGCGAAACAGAATGTATTCGATTCGGATTTGGCCTGAATTGGGGACAGTGATTCGATTAGTTGATTCAGATCACTGTCTCCAATTCTATTCGGCCAAATCCAAATCTGAAGATTTGATGCTGATTCAGAGAATCAGCAATTCGGCCATACACACAATTTTAATTTTTTTTCTACATATCTTGAGGTAGCAGGGACAGCTCATGAACACTGTGATGGTGGGGCAGATGGAGCACAGGAGCGTGGGGGGGGGAAGGAGGGGGGCCTGCATGCTCGGTGGCGGACCCAGAAGTGGACCAGAAGTACTTTCAGATCATCCACAGGGGGGCCCTGGGTGCCCCTCCAGACCCGGGAGGCACCAGTCACTAAGCCGGGGGTCCCTCGTGCACTCTGCAGTGGACCCGGAAGTGGACTGGAAGTACTTCTGGTCCACTTTTGGGTCCACCGCCAAGCATGCTGGGGACCCCCCCATGCTCCCGTGGGACACTCCACCCACCCCAGCATCTCAGCATTCAGGAGCTGCCTGCTACCTTGAGGTATGTAGAAAAAACATTTAAAGCTGTGTCTATGTCTGAATCTCCAAATCTTTCTGAATCTCTCCAAATCAGTTCAGAGGGCTCTGATTTGATTTGGAGAGCTTAAAAGGGTCTCCTGATTCAATTCGGATTTGGAGATTCGGCCACCGAATCAGGCAGAATCTCCACCGAATCGAATCAGGGACCAAAGCTTCGCACAGCCCTACTAGGCGCATGTCTCCTTTGAGTTTCGATACTTTACCTCGCAACAAAATGTGGACCAGTTTTGCTGGTCCATCAAGGGGGCACTGTGCAGATTGGAAGATGGACAGCCAGTCCTAAATATGTAACCTCATGAAGGACACTGGGGAGGGTGTTTTAATCTCTGGTGAAATGGTTGCCAGTTTTGTTACTGGCAAGCATTTCTTGCCTGGCCGGGGGTGAGGAACACTTTCTCTTTTTCACCTTTTAACTTTTTTTATAAGAAAGGTCTACAAATTCAAAATCTAAACGGTATTTTCCACCTCTGACTTCTGTGACTGAATGATTCACCATCGGCATCTATATTGCTAAGATATAACAAACAGATTTAAAAATCAAGTAAAAATAGCAAGCCCTTCAGCTTGTTTTCCATATTGCAATTTTTATGCTTCTTCTAAATTTCTAAGCATTGCAGAAGGAGAGAGGCTATCTTCTTTGCAGCTTCTTAGGAAAGGAGTCAGCAACATACAGGCTGTGGGCCAAATCCAGCCCACTGAGCTACTAGATCTGGCCCACAGAGCTGGAGAGCTTTGCTTGTGCCACTGCTGCTGCTTTCAGTCACCACCCTGCTCCTCCCTGGCTGTGTGCGACCTCAGTGTCCAGCCAGTGGAGGGTTGTGCTGGGCTGGGGAGCTGCAAATTGCATCCATGCTGCCAATTGCTCACTTCATGCTGCTTCTGCTTCTCTCTGCTCACTCCCACCCCCTTGCCTCCCAGCTGCTCAGGGTACAGAAATTTCTTGTTATGCTTTTGGGAAAGGGAATCACCAACTTTAGATTACAGATTTAATCTGCATCACAAAAAAGAGGAATAAAGGAACTTGTGATAGGGGAAAGAGAAAGAAGAATGAGAAAAGGAGGATGTTGCTGGGTTTCTAAAGGCCAGCAGTAGAGAGAACGTCCAAAAGTTTGTGTTACTTCAGGGAAACATTACAACTTTTGAGGGCATTTCGAGATCAAGGTGCCAAACCTGAGGAGTTTGGCCTTCACTGACACTTTCCTTAAGATAGAGCTATGCCAGCGAAAGTTACAAACTGAAGGAAATATATACAGTGATTTATCTCTATCTACAGAAGTGTGCATACACACACATACATACAGACAGATTGGTTGTTCTCAGAGTTTTGGGTCAACACTCCAAATTTGCACCACAGTACTATTACATCTCCAACACATGTGGATCACGATTCTCCTTCATCACTAAACTCTTAATTGGAAACTCTTAATTAGATGTGGCGTCATCTACACACCACCTACCATGGCCTCAGTGGTCTGCACACTACAGTTTAGAAACCACTGATATTTAGACACCAGTGATAGAAACTCACTAATTAGATTCCTTAAACATCCACAGGTCCATTAGAAACAAAGAGGTTAAAAAAACCCCAGGGGAATATGAAACTAGATGATGTTCTTTAACTTACATGCAGCGATGTATGTGCATTCTGCAGATTCTTGTGTGCTATCTGAGGAAGGCTCCTGTCTTGAGGATGAATTTTAGCAGCACTTGCAATCACACCATGCCTGGCATGGCCTTCCAGATGAGGGAGTGAACTAACACTGCTATTGAATTTCTGAAGTAAAAATAAAACAAATAACATAATAAATGACAAATGGGTTCTTTGGTTTGTTTTTTTAAATAAATAGTTTAGATTGACGGCCTGAGCTCAGTTATTTATGGGATTTTTAAAAATAATTTGTCAGAATATATTTTAAAAATATGTTCAAGAAGAAAAATATTAATAGATAAACAGGTACTGTATTACACAAGTAGATTTCATTATGGATTTATATAAAAAGTTTCCATGAAACGATCTGGTTTCAATTCCTCAACTGTTATTTTTCAAAACGTGCATCTTCTAAATTGAAAATGTCCTATATGTTATCAGCCCCAATATTTTATTTGTTGAAAAAATTGGGAAATTAATTAGTTTTGGAGCCAACACACAATAGATCTTTCTTATTATGAATAAAATGTAGGTGCTTTTTATCCATACACAACTAAAAAGTGAATGCACCGTATAATTTGAAATTTTCAGAAGAGATAGACTATTGGGGCAAGTGCTGTGGGAGAGGGGTACCTCAATTAGAGCGGCTTTCAGGAGCCGCTCTTATTAAAGTGCCCATAGACTCTCATGTATTCAGTGTCCCACTGTTCAAAATGGAGGTGGGGGTACTTTAAGGAAAGCTCATTTGACAAGCTCTAGTTAAAGCTCCTCTGCCACCATTTGTGATAATTAGCATTAATTGAGTCTGTTCCAATGCACTGTAATTATAGCATGTCAGAGCAGGCATCCTGCATGCCCACAGGCACACTTGAAGACTAGACCCTTTCATTATATATGAAAAGTTTCCAGATCATAAGTGTTTTCAAGTCAGTTATTTATGTGGGTAGTGGTAATCTTTGTGAAAGCTGGGAGGCAATATTATCTAGCATCCAGAAGACAATATCCTCTTTAATATCTGCAAAGAAACCTTTCAAGGTAAAAAACTTCCTCTGTTGAATGGTACTGATGCAAAAAATAGGCTCAAATCCTGGAACACTTGGTCTGCATGCTCCTAGCTGCCAGACCAGAACCTCACATTCCATACTGAAATCTTCATGCCCCAGTGGCAATTTTAAGCTCTTAACAGAAGGAAGTCTGATTCTGGAGTAATTTATGACAATTGAGTTTTTCAGTAGTATTTTAAAAACCAGACAAACAATCCAAACCAGCTGAACCTGACTCCTGTTAAATGAGTATATTTTCTCTTTTGTAGAAAATGCTATGGAAGGGTCTGAAAATTCTTAGAGTTGAGGCTCATGGAGATCTCCGTGGGCATGTCTACACGAGACATTTACTGCAGAGCTGACTAATTAGCTCCACAGTAAAATGTCACCATCTACACATGTGACCCTATTACAGTGGCATTCTTTCATGCACTGCAGCACATGTGTAAACAGTGACAGGGATAGCTGGGGCATGTGAGTGCTTCAGCACAGGGGCTGCCTGCCAGCCAGCCTTGCACTGGAGCACCTTTGTGCCCCAGTCAGCCCCTCTGCAGCACACTGAGCCAGGTTGGAACAGCCCCGGGCTGGCAGGCTGCTCCAGAGGCTGCTGTGGAGTAGACTTGGGTCCCCTGCCAGCCCAAAGCTGCTCTGACTGGGCTCCATGTGCTGTGCACAAATAAACTCCGGTGCAACGGACTCTAGAGTTCATTCGTGCGCATTATTTGCATGTGTAGATGCACCCCATGAGAACATCCTGCAGGAGGGAAGTCTGTTTATCCCCCAACGGACAGAGGATATAGCTCCAAAATACCGATGAACAGCTCGTGGGAGCACATAATACTCACAGCTGCTAGGCACAAGTGACACAGCTGCAGGGAGGAAGGTATGAAATAATTTTTTTTTAAAAAGGGAGGTATCCTGCTCTCACCCTCGTGGGACCTCTGTCTGATCCGGTTTCTTACACTTGGGTGGATCTCCTGGAAAACAAGCATTAGGATATTCTTTAAAATTAACTGAAGATTCCTGTACCTGACGGAAGACTTTGTTAGATCCCAGACGATTGCTCTCTTGTGTTGGCAGCTGAGACTGAGAAAATGCATCTACTTGGGAAGACTGAAAAGATGATGGGACATTTTATTTCATAAAGACGATTCTAAAAAAATGACACTGCAAGATTTTCAATTTTGCTGGCTCCATTAGCACTACACTGAGTGCAGCTACCTAATCTATCATGAAAATGTAATGTAAAAATGCAATGTAATATTCTATTTACTCCATTAGATTGGTTTAGAAAAATGGCACAGATGATCATTTTAGCAGTAATCATGCTTAGGTAAAACAAGTGGGCAGACTGCAGAGTGGCTAATAGTTTTTTTATTCTGCTGGGATTTTACCTGTGTTTTTATAAAAAAAACCCAATCACTTCCATGGTAAATGCGACTATGATTGTAAACTTGTATTTGATACCACACTTTGGTTATATTCCCACTATGGACTGGATGTGTCCTTGGAACAAGATAAATTAGTCCCTGCTGTTGCTGTTATGCTGCTTCTGGTGACCTGATATCACCATTTTGTAAGAAAATGGGAATGCAAGAAGCAAAATCACATTAACATGACCACAATTCAACATCTCTGAGTTTCATTTGCAAGCAGTTTGGCTAATATTCTACTTTGTGTTTCATCCGGGGCAAAAGAATGTCACTGTCAGAATTGATTCACCTAGCTCAGTGGTGGATGCTCTTGCAACATAATTGAGCTCCTAACCTTTTTGAGCAACTTTTCCAGTTTATGAGACTATCTGCACCTGCACCAGTCAGTGTCCATGGCCTTTCATGCAACTGCCTCCATTCTGTCCAGCTGGACAGTGGGATATGCCTATAAACCCAAAGATGGGAGTTGGCAGCAAACATAGCCCTATTGTGGGATAGAGTGGGAACAATGAAAAGAGGTGGACAGTGATGTGCCAGCAACCTGTACACACTTTCATAAAGGTTTCAATCATGTCATTTAAAAACAATGTTGTACTGGCAATAAGGCAGAGGTACCCTGCATCACAGAGAACATGCCACTAGGAGGTCAAATGTCTCCCAGGAACACACAGGGGACATCTACATGTGCATTTTATTGTGATTGTGTACAGACTAATTAGCTCTGCAGTAAAGCATCACTGTTTATACCTGAAGCATTATTAGGTCAGAGTAAACGAATTAACTCCACTGTAGAATAGTACTGCTCGACACAAGTACTATCCGATGGTGGAGTTATTTAGTGTGCTGCAATGCATGTCTAGATGGTGACCTGCCAGCTAGCCCTGCACTATAACACCCTTGTGCCCCAGCCAGCCCCTCCACAGCATGCTGAGCCAGGGTGGAGCAGCTCTGGGCTGGTAGTCTGACCCCCGGACCCACTTCAAGCTGGGGCTATGCCGCCCCAGATCAACTTTCTGTGGTCCCAGGTGCATGTGTACACACTGAGCCCTGAGCAATAAACTTGGCCATGAACTGCATCGGAGTTTATTTAGCCGTGTCAACTGTATGTATAGATGCGCCCACAGAGACAGCATGTCTGCCACTGTACTGCAGTGCAGCTTATTTTCTCCTGAGCTGTCACTATAAGGGGAAGATGAAGCCAAATAATTTTTTCTTATACCATCTCTTTTCTCCTGTCCCTCACTTTTTAAACATTTTATTCTTCCTTTCACCTTATTGTATATAATGGTAGGTTGATCCCATTTGTTGGAAATGGGTTAGATCTTCTAAATACATATATATTAGGAGACTGAACTTCCAGTACTTATTTGTGCTCCTCAGTGCAGGGGCTTTATGCACTATTTTTAAATTGCATGACCAGTGAACAGCTCTTACCTTCCTTAATGCTCCGCACTAAACACTTTACTGTTTCAGGATCTCTAAACTGAATGACAATCCCCCAGAACAAAACTCAAGCAAATGTCCTTTGTGTGATGGATTTATGCAGAATCCAGGAGGGATGGGATAGTACTATAACACTGCAGAGCAGAGGTGGGCAATTATTTGGGCCCGAGGGCCACATAGACTCTTGGAGACCAACCCCCAGCCTGAGATGCATCTCTCCACCTGGCCATGCACAGTCTCTATGGAGACTGGCCCCCAGCCTCGGATGCAGCTCCCTGCCTGGCTTTGCACTGTCTTCATGGAAACCAGCCCCCGGCCCTTGTGCCCACCCCAGATGCAGCACACTTAGTTGGGCTCCCACCGCTGCTGCTACCCCTGTTCTGCTCTGCTCCACTCCACACCAAGCCAGGGGGCTGCCACCGCTGTGCAGGAATCCCTGGGTGAGCTGCAGGCTGGCACAGGACAGAGGTGCCCAGCATCACCTGGCAGGGCTAAAGGACCTGCGGTGGGCTGGGCAAGGCAAAATTGCTCTGTGGATCAGATCTGACCCACAGGCCATATTTTGCCCAGCCCTGCTGTACAGCCTCAATGGATGTTATTTTAGTGGAGAGCTGGAATATATACAGCCTCCTTCTTCTCCACCTGCCTCCACCCCTCCAAGAGGATTTTTGTCATTGGATTTGTGCGGTTGTAGACTCATCAGCCATTTTCCTGATTCCTCCAGTACGTACTCCCCACTGGGAATGAAACCGAGCTCTCCCTTACAATCACATAACATAGTTGTCCGTTAACTCAGCAGCAGAGCAACATTCTGTAGAGGAAAATCTCCAAAGCTTCCAAGTTCCTGATTTAATGTCTCCTATAAAGAGCAATCTCTCCAGGTACTTTCCCGTACAGTAACTATAGTATTATCAGTAACTGTAGGTCTTTGAGATTCTAGTTCCCTACGTAGGGCACACAAATATTTTAAGTACATGTGGTCAGATGAGAGCAGGACATGTTGATAATGGTCTAAGGCAGACTTTGAGAGAACTATGTGCAGTCTAGTTACAGGTACGGTTTATAGTCGAACGCCTGTGATATCAGAGACTCAGTTTCAGATTATGTTGGGTTGTTCATAAGGGAATTAATTTCATAGTTTCATAGTTGGTAGGGTCGTAAGGGACCTAAGCAGATCATCAAGTCTGACCCCCTGCCATGGGCAGGAGTGAATACTGGGCTCATTTGACTCCAGCTAGGTAATTATCAAGCCTCCTCTTAAAGACCCCCAGGGTAGGAGCAAGCACCACTTCCCTTGGAAGTTGGTTCCAGATCCTAGCTGCCCTGACTGTGAAATAGTGCCCTCTAATGTCCAGTCTGAACCTACTCTCTAGCAACTTATGGCCGTTATTCCTTGTTACTCCGGGAGGTGCTCAGGGTTTCTCCCATTCCCCGCTGGTCCACCCTGGTGAGTTTAAAGACAGCCAACAGGTCCCCTCTCAGCCTTCTCTTGTGAAGGCTGAACAGGTTCAGGTCCCTTAGCCTCTCCTTGTAGGGTCTGCCTTGCTGTCCCCTGATCATGCGGGTGGCCCTCCTCTGGACCCTCTCGATGCTGTCCACATCCCTCCTGAAGTGCGGCGCCCAGAACTGGATGCAGTACTCCAACTGCGGCCTGACCAGTGTCGCATAGAGAGGGAGGATCACCTCCTTGGCCCTGCTTGTGATGCATCTGTGGATGCATGACAAGGTGCGGTTGGCCTTCCTGACCGCGTCCTCACATTAGCGGCCCATGTTCATTTTGGAATCGATAATGACTCCAAGATCCCTTTCTGCCTTTGAGAAGGGAGTTTCCCAGCCTATAGGTATGCTGCTGCTTCTTACTGCCCAAGTGCAGTAACCTGCACTTGTCAGTATTCAATCCCATCCTATTCACAGTTGCCCACCCCTGTAACCTGTCCAGGTCCAGTTGTATCCTGTCACTCCCTTCTAGCGTGCCCACTTCGCCCCAATTTATATTTAGGGCAGTACATTTTCTTAGTAAATGACTTCCTGCCATATGTGTTGGGAGAAAATAGTATTTGTGGGGTTGGTGGCAGTGCAGGGCATGGTGTGGAGCGTCTTGCCTGACCCCTCAACCCTCTCTCCTGCACAGCTGTAGTGGGGCTGGTGCACACTGCTGCTGTACGCAGTGGAGGAGCGTGCAGCAGGGGCACTGGGTGCGGTGCTGCGGTGGTGGGGCATGGCAGTGGGGTGACCGGAGCCATGGTTGGGGGGGTCTAAGCCCTGTTAGCCCCAGCCTTCCACCACCTATGCTTCCTGCTCTGTATGAGGACTTCTTGAATCTGTCAGTGCTGCTCAGTCAGTCAAAATCCAAATCATCATGTTCAACAACTAAGGATCTAGTTGCAATATTTGGCTGTAATCCAGGGAGAGTAAGTCCAGATTGGTAGATGGATAAGGTAGGGAGAAGGGCAAGAGCTATGAGAGGGGCTTACTGAAATCACATCTGAAGATTTTGTGGATTTTGCAGATTTTGTGGAAATCACAAAATTTGGCATTGCTTGCGAAATCTGAGGGGGGGAAAAAAGAAAGAAAAGTTACTGAAAATAAAACAGTGGCTCCCCAAGCCTAAGATAAACTGAGGATTCTGCTTCTTTTCTGGAATAAGGAAATACCAGAAGCAGAAATCTTCTCTTCTGCAGATGGTAACTCCACTATAACCTCAGGGGTGAAACAGCAAATCCACTTACATTTAACAGGTTCTTACAACAAGTGTCAGAGGCTCTGATCAAGCAGGCCTAGCTGGGCCAAGCACGTGAGTTCCCACACCTACTCCTAATTCTGACTGATGTGACTGACTCATTTTTCTGCAACCACACTGGCTGCTGAAAGTGCCACTTACCCCTTTTAAACACACCTGCAGCCTCAGGCTGCAAGCATGCCTTGATACAACCTCTGTCTGTTCCAGCAAGCCTTGTGTTCACAGCTCTTCCTGGTTCTCCTGACTTCTGTCCCAGGCTTGGCTTTTTCTGACCCTGATCTTGGATCTCTCTTGAAACTTGGCACTGGGTCCGCTCTCTCTGGTTTTCCTGGCATCCTGATTTGGCTTAGCTTCCTTGACCCTGATCTTGGATTTACCTTGGAACTGAGCACTGGATCTCTGACCCCTGGCTCCTGACCTTGGATTATGTCTTGGACTATGTCTCTTGGATCTTCCCTCTCAGCTCCGGTAACCTACACCCCCACTCTATCCCCCTA